TCCGTTTGAAATGTCACCCTATCCTCATCAAGAATGGAATTCAAAAACCCAACCGTTGTGAATCTGGACATCCCATCAATAAACTGAGCTACCTAATCTATGGATTGTAAGACGATTATCAAGTGGTTTCGAGCAAACGAAAGACACAACTGGTCAGCTGGAAGTGATAATTGGTGAATGGAAAAGGTAAGCGATCTAAGTGCGCAGCGCCCCGTGGTTCTCGGATGGCTTTAACACTGACACACTGAAAAGTAACACGATAAATGAGAAGTTTAAGCCCCGCTCGCATCACGCTCCAACTAAATGGCACTGTGAGCGGTTAGTAGAAATGTGTATACATGCAGACGAACGCATCTTGGCGTGGCAAGCCCTTGATAAAAACTCACCTTAAAAAATAATAGAAATGAAACTCAACGATAATGGCTCTAATTAAGTAGTGCAAATAAGCCTTCCGATTTTCCTGAAACCAATCGCAACGCTAAGCAATCATTGCAGATGACATTAATGTCTAAGTTAACCCGATGAGGTTACGGCTAGACTAGATGCTTAGTCCCCTTTGGAATTTATTAGCCCAGCTACACTTCTACATCCTGAGGAGGTAATCCTAATAACTAAACCGATATCCAACTGAGCATATAAAATTAACACCACCGACAGAGAATACCATCCCATTAATTATAAACATCATCGACGCTAGATTATCTAAGACCCAGGGGCTACGCCGCAAAACTTCATCCGCAAACAAGCACTTCTGTCTTTACAAGTTACAAACAAAGTACTAGCGACCTCTGGCTATTTATGTATAAGCTTGTATAACATTCTCTATACAGCCTTCTTGGTCAAATCCCATTTTACCTGCCATTTGATCATGTATACTGTCGTTAGGTCCAGGTCACACAAAGTGAACATGGGAGTCTGTGTTTAGCAAAATTGACATTAAATTAACAGTACGTTTGAAATAGTATATACATTAGCATTTTACATTAAAAGTATATAAATAGAAGACATCTAAAATGACAATACTTATTTGCACGAAAGAAGACACGTGTATAGGCTAAGAAATGATAGTTAATATAATTTGAGGTGACCTGACACCTCATCTATGTCTTTCGTGCTTGCTAAAAGGAGTTAAGTAAAAGTACAAAACAAACCAGGCCCAATCCCGAGAACGGTTGCAGTGCCCTGCGGAACTTGAGTCCTACCGGCATCGTGAATTATACAGTTTAAAAGATGTTTAGAAGTAGCTAGAGTACTTAAGGCAATCCTAAGGGGAAATGAATAAAAATTAACAAACAGCTCATCTTCCGATTCAACTTTTAACGTAATCTTACGTTGTCCCTGTGATTCCCAGCGCTTGACAATTGCAGGAGTAGCCTTTAGAGCATGATTATAGCAAGAGAGAGTAGCATGACAGCACTACATTCTAAAAATGAAGCCGAGGGTACCTGTGCGGCAGCTTTTCCCCTGCTCATACCGAGATCATTACGTATTATGAGTACTAGCTTAATTTCCCCATGGGCAATATCATTGAAAACACTCTAAAATTTCGCATTAAAAAAAACTACAACTGACTATCGGTGTAGTTTGCACTCGTTTCCCAAGTAAAAGCCCGACGCATACTCCAGTCACCGCCGATACAACACTGGAAATGAGAGCAAGGTGCCAATCCATGTCAAAATATATTCATACTGGACGCTGCAGAACTAGGCCATTCAAAGCCTAAAGTCTTAAACACTCAAGTGATAACAATAATTATTATAATATATAAAAATGTATTTTACCTTATTATGCAAAATTTTTAGGGTTACTCTATTATTTGAC